GCATAACAGTGGAAACTAATCCCGTATTTTCTAATAATATTACCAAGGGGCAACATGTATATTGAAAATAGCAGAGGACCTAGGACAGATCCTTGTGGCACTTCATATTTTACTGGTGATAATTGAGATGACTCCCCATTTAAATAAACAAAGTGGTAGCGATTGGACAGGTAGGACCATCTTAAAGCCTGCGCTTGAATACCTGTATAGTTTTGTAATCGGTCTATGAGTATGTCATGATCTATGGTGTCGAACGCAGCACTAAGATCAAGTAAAACTAGCAATGAGATGCAGCCTTGGTCTAATGCAAGAAGCAAGTCATTCTCCAGTAGGATTGTTATTCCAGCCCCCTAAAAAACAAACACACACAGACATACATGACACTTAAGGAATAATTCACCCAAAAATGAAAATTTGCTGATAATGTACACACTCTATGTAAGATGTATATGACTGACTGTCTTCACCAGAAAAAAAAATCTTGGATGGTCTGAGGGTGACTACATTATTGGTAAATTTTCATTTTGGGTAAACTATTCCTTTCATAGTGATATTTGCTCTTTTTTAGAATTTTAAAAATTAAAATAACAAAATATGGCTGTCGCACACCTGACAAAAAGTGCAGCACTGCGTCACGTCTCGGACAACTGACATGTATATCACTCTGGCCGTGTTGCTTTCAATTCAAGCAGCCTTCTAAAACAATTTTTTTAATCACCAAACAGACAATGAGTTTGGCGTTGACGAGTTTGAAGTTTGATGTTTGAAAAGAGAGCAAACGGAAAGAAAAAGTGCAATCTATATTATAGCTCTCTATATGAAGCATACAGACTTTATTAGAGTCACAGAAAGACAAATGTTTAGTTGAAAAATGCACAATACACAATATTCCAGCCTAGGGTTAAGGTATTATGTACATTAACAATCCTGTGTAAGATACTTGAATGACAAGAGGAGACAACTGTGATCTGGAAACTTTTACTGAACCCGATGCAGCACAGAACAGAACATACATCTTCAGCCAGTACCTGGAAAACAGTCTAGCATAACACCCACTTACCCTCTAGGGAAAAACTAGTAACGCCCCTCCCAGCCCTCTTAAAGGAACCTCACTGTTGCATTATATTTAGCCAATACACTACACACATTTCTCACAGTCCACAAAATCTGAAAATCTTCTTGGGGGACGATGCTCTCTTACGGGGTACCTCCTAGAGGGAGGGGACTCTGACATGCCCTAAGCTCCAGAAAGCTCCTCACCAGGGATTTCCATCTCTATTGTGGGCGGCTGTAACTCAGGCATTTCGGCCCCTGCGGGCTCTGGTAGAGAGGCAGTGTAGCCATCTAGCTCGGGCCTTGATGGACCCACTGAGGGTGCCACCCTGTCCAGCAGCTGATCAATATGCCGTCTGCACCTGCCCATCACTGGTCCTGACCTTGTATGACAAGGGGCCTGTGACATCAATGATGACCCCAGGAATCCACTTAGAATCCCTGGTGTAACTTCTCATGCACACCAAGTCATGTGGTCTAAACTCTCTTACAGTGCCAGGGCATTTTTCAACACTCCGCTCCTGTTTGTGGAGCATATCACCTTCATGGTCAGGATGCAAACGATCCAGGGCCGTGGTCAGTCACCGATTCATGAGCAACTCAGCAGGACTTTTTCCAGTTGACAGCAAGAAACGAGCAAGTCGGATCTGCCACTCGCCCTTGGTGATGCGAGACAGGGCTTCCTTGGTTGTCTGTGCCATGCAATCAGCTTGACCATTTGAGCTCGGATGATAAGGTGCTGTAGTGACGTGGCGAATACCATTGCGCTCGGGAAACTCTTGGAACTTGGTGGATGTGAAAGCAGCCCCATTGTCTGAAACTATGACGTTGGGCAACCCATGTGTTGCAAAAATCAGTCTCAGTTTGTTAATAACTGCACATGATGACATGGAACTCATCAGAGACACCTCTAGCCACTTGCTGTGCGCATCAACCACTATGAGGAATATTTTGCCTTGGAAAGGGCCCGCAAAGTCAATATGTAGCTGGGACCATCTTTTTGTTGTCCACTCCCAAGGGTGCACTTTTGCCTTAGCAGATGCATGACGTGACATCAGACAGGTTCCGCATGCTTTGACAGTTTCCTCTATATCTCTGTCCATGCCCGGCCACCACACATAACTCCTTACAAATCCCTTCATGTGTACGATACCCGGGTGCGCACCATGCTGCAAAGCCAGAACATCTCTCCGCGCCAAGCCAGGAATAACCACACAGATTCCCCAGAGCACAGTTCTTATGCACGGAGACTTCATGGCGGCGCAAAACGAATGGTTTGAACAGGGGCATAAATTTCGTCTAACAGTAGGGGGGGGGCAATAAACATAAAATTTCTCTAGAGTAATTTTCGAAGGGGACACAAATTATATAGCTAAAATTGTACTTGTAAGGATATGTATACACAGAGGAATGGCTTACTACTATTAGTGCAGCAGGGAGACCGTGCCAAATTAGGCAACTTAAAACTGTTGTGGTCGCGCCGTGACAGCGCTCGTGTCCGTTGTAGACATAGTGTTGCCAAGTCCGCGGTTTTCCTGTGGAATTGGGCTACTTTATCACTGTTGCGCGGGTTGTTTTTCATGTCCGCAGGTTGAAGCGACCCCAATAATGTGTATTTTAGCCCCCGGAATGCGATTTTTACCGGGGGACCCCTCGAAACGCGGATAGTTTGGGTTAGTTTTGAGTAGCAATTGGGCGGGTTTTGTTATGAAAACCTGGCAACCCTTTACCTCAAGCAGGTAACGTTATTATTGCTAACAGCTGACTCATCGAAACATACATTGGCATCATCTGTATTAAAGAGAAAATAATCACTTCATCCGATGTTTAAGTGAATAAAATAGCCTTGACAAGCCTTACTTACTGGAGTTCCACAACTATTGACTTTGTTCTCTCTCACCGGACTTGTGTGTGTGTAGGTGATGTAAAAGAGGAAAGCAGGCATTTGGACCAAAGCACTATGAGGCAAGGGAGGGCGAGACTCAAAATGTTTCTAAACTTAAAACGCATTTTTTCCCCGTTTGTGTTGTTTTACTACTTACACAATTATTAAAAGTATAAAACATTGTTATTTACAATGCACAGCGTGGTTTTTAATTATATTTTTAGGGGGGGACAACCCTCAGATGGGGGGGTCCTGTTTCCCCCGACCCCCCCGGGATTTCCGTCTATGGGTTTGAACCGGCTATCTGGTACATCAGCTGGCCACCCATGTAGTACCCAGCGTAGTACACGTGACATGACAGGGTCCTTAAGTGTAATGTTAGCAATTCGTTCAGCATGCATAGGTGCATCTGGCACCATTTCCAGTAGCAATACTTCCAAAGGTGGCGGCGTAACAACTTCAGATGCAGGCAGAGGTAAGCGACTCAGGGCGTCATCATTGCCCATTTGTTTGCCAGGCCTGTAACACGGCTCATAGTCATAAGCTCCAGTGATCAAACTCCAACGTTGCATTCGTGGTAAAAGGATGACAGGCATTGGCTTGGAATGGTGCACAAGTCCAAGCAGGGGCTTGTGGTCCGTAAAAATCACGACGTGGCGGCCTGCGAGATACTGGTGAAACTTTCTGACAGCAAAAACTACTGCTTCCTTATCGATTTGGACATAATTCAACTCAGTGGTGGTCATCGAGCCCGGAAAAGCCCGCGGTGAGTTTTAATAGTCAGTAGTTCGGATGCTTTGACATCCAATGGAAGCTGCTGATAAGCTTGTTTCAAATCAAGTTTAGTGAAAACTACTCCTCCTGCTAGCTTTGAGAACCGTTCAGATGCCGTGGGTATGTGGTACACATCAGGCTTAACAGTTGTATTCACAGTACAGCGATAATCACCGCAAATCCTCAAGCCCCCATCTTTTTTTGCTACAACCACTATGGGTGTGGCCCACTTTGCATGCCGCACAGGTTCAAAAATTCCTTGAGCCACCAATTTATCCAGCTCCTCGTCAAGCTGTGGCCGTAAAGCGAAAGGAACTGGGCGGGCTTTGAAAAAACGTGGCGTAACTCTGAAATCAATGTCAATGGGGCAAACCCCAATGTCCTGAAATACCTCAGAATATTCAGCCAGTATTTCCTCTATGGACTGAAGCTGTACTCTGTGCACTCCTTCAACCGATATTCCAAGGACATCAAACCAGTCCCAGCAGACTAGTGCCCTGGCCCCTGATGACAAACAAGGGCAGTGTGTTTCGAGTTCCTTTGTACATCACTTCCACAACATTTTTTCCTTTTACTTCCAAGGTTGCTTGTGACCACTGCTTTAGTACTCCATTGTCTGCATTCATTTCAGGGGATTGAGAGGGCCACAATGGGTGATAAGTATGCTCACTAATCAAGGAGCATGCTGCTCCTGAATCCACTCCCATTGTGTGTGCTTGTTTGTTCAGTATCACAGTGGCCAAATATGGCTTTCTGCCCCCCCCCCTTTTGATTTGGTAGTGGTGTTGTAAACCGTACTCATTCTGCTGGTCGTGAGTTATAATGTTTGTATGCCGTTCCGCTGTGATACCGGCTGCATCCTTGTCACTAATGTGTCTAGTCTTTGTTAAACACACCCGAGCTATGTGTCCTCTTTTTTTAAAAAATTTTTTTAACAGTAATGGCATACAGCAGTGGAAAACTTACAGTCTTGTGGGATGTGCTACCGCCACACCTGTAGCATGGTTTATCACATTTTTGATCTTCACTTGTAGCTGCAATCTTGTGTGCTGATGCATGCGTATGGTCTGCATAATGAACATCATCTTGAGGCAGTGATTCGTTTTGTTGCTGACGAGGTAGACAAGCATTTAACAATGCTGTTTCTGTGGCTAACGCCTTTTCCTCTGCCTCTTTAAAGGGTCATGAAACCCCCTGTTTCAGCGCTGGTTAGTTCTCACCACAGTTTTTAAAAATGCTAAAAAAGTGGGCGTGGTGCGCTGTGAGTGGAGGGGGAAGAGGGGAGACAGACAACACACACAGCTTCGGGTTCAGACAGTTTAATTTAGCTCCCATCGATTTAAAAACACAAATAAATGCACAGCCATTTGCACTCTGTATCGAAAACAGACATGAACATGAACGTGCTGTTGCACCCTCTGATAACTTTTTAAGACTTATTCTGCCATGATTATATAAGCCTTTTGACAGGTTGTGTCATGGAGCTGTAAAAATGGTTCCCTTTCAGTCCGTCACACTCGTCGTCACATCGGATGACCGGCGAATTGGGATCTCGCTTAGAGAGACCAATCTACTTCGAGTGTAACTAAATGAGCCAATGCACATTGGCATGTGATTATTGCATCCAGCTGCCGTGAGTATAAGTAGGCAGCTGGTGCAGCGCATATTCAGCTTTTCGCATCGGAGCCGAGAGATTGTTTCGGAGAAACTCAATGAGTTCCGCATGCTCTAGGAAGCTCTGGTGCTGGTGGTACGGCGCTTCAGCGGCGGTGGTTCTTCCTGTGTCGAGTGGGTTGCACATATCAGGCTGCACTATCCCCTGTTTGTGTTGCAGGCGGCCATCTCCCCTGTGCACTTCAGCACACTAAAAGAGAAAATTCTAAAAGAGCAAACTCTAAAAGAGCATTCACGGGTGGACGTCTTTTTAAAGATGCCTTTCCACCCGTGCTTTTCTGGTGCCCGTGCCTCTGCCTAGATCTAGGGCTCCCCCTGGCGGCCGCCGGGGGGACGCTACTTCTGGCAGTAGCCGGACTGGTCTTATGGTGGTGGTGAGGAATTCTCCTCCGAGGGCCCCTCCTTCCACCGGCACTTCACAGCCAGTGGAGCCACCGAAAGAACAGGCTGGACCCTCTCGTGGGGTACCACTTGTATCCTTCGGTGCTCCCACTGATGATCGGATGTCAATTGCTGCATCGGAGGGTGAGTCAGACCTTTCTGGAGATGATGATCCGGCAGCGCTGCCACCTTCTGGGTGGCCAGCAATGCCGGATACGGATACGGAAATGGTGGCTATGCTTGCCCGGGCCGCTGAGAGGATCGGGCTTGAGTGGAAACCTCCACCGCGTCCTGAATACTCGAGGCTGGACGATTGGTTTCTCGGGGTGGCTCGCGCTGGTTCTCAGGGCCCCATCCCAGTGCCTTTCTTCCCGGAGGTGCATGATGAGCTCACTGGGTCGTGGACGGCACCTTTCACTGCCAGAAACCGGCCCAGTGGCTCATCCTCCCTCACCACCCTCGACGGTGGGGCATTCTGAGAGAACAGGGCATTCACATTCTCAACTACCTCGATGACTGGCTCATTCTAGCTCAGTCTCAGGATCAGTTGTGCGAACACAGGGACTTGGTGCTCTTGCACCTCAGCCGGTTGGGCCTTCGGGTCAACTGGGAAAAGAGCAAACTCTCCCCAACGCAGAGGATCTCTTTTCTCGGTATTTCATATGAGACCGCTTCAGCACTGGCTCCATGGCCGAGTCCCGAGGTGGGCGTGGCAATGCGGCACTCACCGGGTCCGAGTCACACCGGCCTGCCGCCAAACCTTCACCCCGTGGTTAGACCTTGCGTTTCTCCGGGCAGGAGTGCCCCTAAAACAGGTCAACAGGACACCACTGCGACAGTTGCGTACATCAACTGACAAGGTGGTCTACTGTAGCAAATTAGCTCAAAAGGGAAATGTATATAAATAATAACAATTAATTATGATTGCGAGTGTTCCCTCGGCACGGACGCACTGACACACAGCTGGCCGCGGGGCCTTCGCAAGTATGCGTTTCCCCCGGTGAGACTTCTTGCACAGACACTGTGCAAGATCAGGGGGGACGAAGAGCAGGTCCTGCTCGTGGCGCCTTACTGGCCCACTCGGACTTGGTTCCCGGAACTGATGCTCCTTGTGACAGGGTTGGAGCGAAGGCTGTCTCCCTCCACCCTTAAAGTCTACGTGGCTGCGATTGCTACCAACCATGACCCCGTGGAAGGGAAGTCGGTGGGGAAGCATGACCTGATCATCAGGTTCCTTAGGGGGGCGAGAAGGCTAAATCCTCCCCGGCCCCCCTCTATACCCTCTTGGGACCTGTCTGTAGTGCTCAGAGCACTACAGCAGGGCCCATTTGAGCTGGGCGCTGGCTCGTGGCGCCTCACTGACAGATATTTGTAGACCTGCGGGCTGGGTGACCCCCAACACGTTCGCTAGATTCTATAGCCTTCGTGTGGAGCCAGTATCCTCCTGTGTTCTCACCTCAAACAGATAGAAGCACTGAGAGGCCCCGGCTTCGGGTCGGCTTGCTAAGACTGCTCCAGAGAGTCCATATCGTAGACCCTGTC